ACATTCAGAGGCACTCGACCACTGAGCCACATTCCCAGCCCTATTTTGTATTTTACTTAGAGACAGGGTCTCATTGAGTAGCTTAGCACTTGCTGTTGCTAAGGCTGGCTTTGAACTTGCGACCCTCCTGTCTCAGCCTCCTGAGCTGCTGGTATTACAGACGTGTGCCACCATGCCTGGCTGCTCTCCCTCTTTCTAAGGGCCTTCTGTGAGGTCCTTAGACAAGGTCAGACCTGTGTGGACACATTTAGCAGATATCCGTTTTGTGGCTTTGAGCTTGTTCTGCTGGCTGGGACGATCCTGACTTATCAGCATGTACCTCCTTGAGACTAAGGAATTATGAGTGGCTCTAAGTGAGCACATCTTCTGTTGTTGTAGACCTGTCTAACAACGTTGGAAAGTTCTGCTTCCAGAACTGTGATTGAGAGCACACACTTTGTTGCCAGGCATTGGGACCATCAGGCCTATAGTTATAAAGAAGTCACTCCTTGAGCCTTATTTTTCACTTGGAAAATGGGGGTCACAATCCCACTGTCACAGGGTGGTTGTGCAAACTAAGCAGGATACAGACTGAGGATCAGCCCCAAAGTTGATAGTCCTTGGCAGGCTGCTAATCACCTGAGTGTGTTGCTTTGAGGTCAGCTCCCATCAGTGTGAACTCCATTGTACCCCTCAAAACCACCCAGAAAAGTCGTTCACCATACCAGTCTCAGGCCCCACCTTCAAACTGCTGAACGGAAACTGTGGTTCTTGGTGGTCTGTTTTCACAAGCCTTTCACGTGACTCTGTTCACTCAAGGTGGAGAACCTCTTTAATGCAAAATGCCTTGCAGATGCCAGCCAGGAGAGCTGGTAACTCACTGTATTATGTGTGGATCAGTGAGAACTTCTCACCAGGCTGATGTTGGGATGAGGTTATCCTGTGTGTGTCTGAGAGTGAAAATGCATTTTTTCCCCCAACACAGTGGGGGAAAAGCCACCTTTCATTAAAGTGATAGTTAACTTGTAATTATTCAAGGGTAATTACAGAGTTTGTGAATCATGTCCAATATTTTTGCTGCTTCCTGAAAATCCCCTTATTTAACATTTTTCCCCCTGCCCACTCTTTGCTTATACCTTGTTTTGAGAACCAGGATATATTATAGGCGAAACAAAAGTTTACTCATGCTATGAATTGTTTGTGTTGTTTAAAAAGTTACGTTACCCAACTGGGGCTGTAGCTCACTGGTAAGGCGCTTGCCTTGCCTATATGAAGCATTGGGTTCGATTCTCAACACTACTTAAAGATATTGTGTGTCCATCTACAACTGAAAAAAAAAAAGTTACATTGCCTTTCTTTTCCAAATGGAACCATAAAAAGGGAAATATTTCTGAAAAATTTTTGCCTGGGAATTTTTTTTAAAGACTCTTCCCTCAGCCATTTCAGATTTGTTTTAAGTATAAAGTGGAACAAACCATAAGTCCAGTCAGTACAACTGGCAAAGGCCTGTCAGTTGCAAGGAGAAAGGAGGCAACCCACAGCCAGGGTTCACAGCTTCCCCCATGCACCTCTGTGAACTTCCTGCCTCTTTGGCCTTCCTCTGTCCTGCCCAGGAGCCTTGGTGAGTGAGGCCCAAAAGGATGTTGCCCCAGAGGGCATGAGTGAGAGTCTTACAAAGTCCCAGCCTCATAAGATTCATCCTAGAAGTAACATGCATTGTGTTTTGATTTCCCTCACTATTTACAGGCTTTTCAGTTGAAGAGTGAGAGTGAATTAAAACCAAAACCAAAACAAAACAAAATCATAGTTTGCTTTAAAATTGGCAGAGTATTGCATATGTTTGCCAATAAGATCTTGGTGTGGATTTTAATTTTTTTGAAACAAATGAAGTAAAACCTTAATTAACCAGAATCCTTAACTTAATAGGATTTCTTCTGTGGGAGGCCCCTTGATTTTAGAATCACATAGTAATAAGCCCAGTGTTAGGCATTTTATGAAAGAACAGCCTAATTGCTTTTTTTTTTTCTGGTTATTTCTGTAACAGTTTTCATTATTTTGGAATGAAAAACCAGAAGTACGTTGAAACCTAACTGATCCTGAGATGAGGCTGACACAAGACCGAGCTGATGGATTTAGAAATATTCTAGTGATTGCAAACTAGTGTCATTTTGTTTAAGTACAGTTGAGTATAGAATAAAGTGGAAATTAAACAAGGACCTCCGAGCAGCCTTAGTTGAGGGACTACTATTCACACCCTCACTTTTTAGTTCCCCARTGAGAATTTTGCTGTCTGAGGTTCTCTTTTCTGAGACAAAAGTAGAGACTGCTCAGAAGTGACCATAACACTGCCCTTCAAAGCAGAGCCAAAAGCTGTGAACACTGAGGAGCAAATAAAGCTCTAGGGACTCCAGGGCTGAAACTAGCAGTAACAGAAGGGGGAGAAAACAACTCCCCTGCTGGTGAGCACAGCTGAGCTGGGGCCCTTGGTAAGCTCCTGCTTAACCACCCGTGCAGCTTGGCCTGACCTCAGCAAGGTGCAGGGCGTGGTGCACAGGGCAGTTTTTCAGGAAAGGCTCTTGGGAGTTTCAAGTGGCTCCAGAGTATAGTTGCATACATCACCACTTCCTGCAAATTGACCCAAAGTGGCTGAAAGACAAGTGTAAAGGAAAAAAAAAATTATGTTCTGATCAGCACTCTCAAGTAGCTTATGCAGCTGTATGCTAATGTATGTCACCTCTTGAAACAACAAGAAGAATAAGCAAAATCATTAAATAATTGAAAGGGATCCTTGAGTGGTCAAGTCCATTGTGCTACTGTCAATCAGACCTAAGTCTAAATATCCAAAGCATGTGACATCCAGACTCAATTAGAAAAGATTCCAGTCAGTTCTAATTTATTTTCTCTCAGTATGTTCACTATCCTAAATAGTTACCTTTGTAATTATGAGTTCTGTTAAAATCTAAAATTGCAATATCTGTCTTCTAAGGAGTAATGGTCTAAGCAGATGATTTTTGACAGTATCCTATCTATCAAATTTAATCAGGTAGCTTAGTTCTCCCCACTTTTAGATTGAAAGACTGTGGTACTAGCAGTCTTTAAAATAGCTCTAATTAATTAGTTTATTTATTTATTTATGTTCTTTTTAGTTACACGGCTCTATTTTTTTTTAAGAAAATTGTGTGTTTTCCAGAGTTTAAGAAAAAAGTTGCAAGTAATTTTATTAAAATGACAACAATGACAACAACAACAGCACTGAAAGCACAGTGGCTGCCTTTTTTATTTAAAAATATTTAATGATTAACTTCTATGCAAAGTATCATGCCTTAGAACCAGGAGGAGGTTATGCAGAACAAGAGGTTCTATTCTACTGAAGTTCATGTTCTAGGGAAAAGTGGGGAAGAAGAGGTAACCAATGACCTGTCCAGCAAGCACACACTTGGTGAATGTGAGGAAGCCTTTGGAGTGGGTGACATTCGAATATTTCCAGAGATCTTCTGGAAGCCGACAATTGGGGCTGGGGATGTGAGGTTGAAAGAGAAGCCATAGAAATTTTCACGATTAGAATGAAACCATCAACATCTAGGATATCACTGAGAAGCAGGGAGTAGTCTTGTGTGACTGGAATATAGAAGTGGTGTTTTGGACAGTCCTACTTCCTAGCTAAGTTGGTCCTGGAAGAATTGCTTATCTTTCAGTAAAGGTCTGGATGGGCATTAGAGCAAGAGAATGCCCTGACAGGGAAACGGACTTGTGGGAATCAAGTAGAATGCATATGGTAGGCCTTTTGGGGGTACAGTGGGGTTATGTACCCCCATAATTGAGCTGTACCAGATTATGAGGGAATTTTAATGCCAAAGCAAGGACTCAGTTTATTCTGCAATATAAAGGAGCCATCAAATAATGTTACTTTAAATATGGATAGTGACATGAGAATCAGGGCCTTAGGCCAGGCTTCTTTTCATGGGAAAGCTGAATTTGAGGGATATGGGGGAGCCAAAGAATCCACCAAGCTTTTGCCAGAGGAAATAAGCTAAGTCAAGAGAGAGGGAAGGACCAGGGAGGTTAGAGTTTGTAGTAGTGCACACAGCCGAGGCAATTGAATATTTTCCTGTTTGTTTAAATAGCAATGGGAAAAATGATTCAGGGGATTCTCTAGAAGCAAGTCTATGAAGACAAAAGGCTTTTTATAGTTCTAATTTTCATTATTTATTATCACATGAGCTGGTTGTGTTGCTGACAGTGAGGCAGGCCCTCTTTGGTTCATGAGACAGCTAAAATAGCCCTTCTTTCAGAATCCATTTCTGTGATCTGTTCCTCAGTGAGTGCATTTTAACCCCTCTGGTGCCAAGGCTGATGATTTAGATATATTTTATATGGTTAAAGTAGGGCAATCAGTTTGTAAGACATTCTCACTAGGTAGAGCTGACATCTATAATTGGATTTTCTCATCCTTGACACTAGAAATAAGAAATAAAAATCGTCTTTTTTGGATTTACATGCCAAGACACTCCCAGTAGAGTGGGCTGAGAATAAGGTAAATGCTGTTTTGGGTGCCTGGTAATCTTTTAATTATAAAATAAGCCTTTTGATTTTAATCTTCCAAAACGTACGACACTGATCCAGGAAAACAGCCTTTTTAAAGTTCACATCCTGCTGATTCCTTCAGATGAAAAGCTTCTGCCTCTACCCCATATTTTGCAAGCCGAAAGTCAAAATATCATTACTCTTGTCTCAGTTCCCCAGTGCCTATAAAAGACAAACAAGAGTCGGTCCTGAGCCATGACGGAGGCCTAGAGTGGGTGCTTGGGATTGAGAAGACAGGACAGTGGATGACAGGTCACAGCCAGTTGACTGAAGCCTCAGTCTAGGGGTGGGTTAAGGGACTTTCCTTAAGTCACATCCCTGTCGTTTCTTCTCCTTAGACCTATCCTCATCTTGCTCCACATGCGTACCATGGGCATGACAAAACTTGAATACTAATAGGTTTTATTGTTTTTGTTTTTTTGTGGCATCTGAAATAGCTTGTACAATGAAGACAGAAACCTGCTTCGAATTAGAGAGAAAGAGAGACGCAACCAGGAAGCTCACCAAGAGAAGGAGACATTTCCTGAAAAAATCCCCCTTTTTGGAGAACCTTACAAGGTATTTACTGTATACTAGAGTGTGAAAATCTGATTTATCATAATGTTGAGCTTGGTGATGAAATGATTCAGTGTAATTGAATTCAAATAAGGTTCACAATTGTGAAAACTTCTTCTAGAGATTGTTTTTGGAACCAAGTCTGAAAATTCTCTGAGTATCATTAGTTAAAACTACCAAAGTTTATGGTTTTCTTTTGTAATGTCTTGTATAATTAGTAATATGTGTGCAAGACGGGCTTTGCAATGGGAAATGAGTTAAAACTCCACATTGAATTCTGTAAGTTACACATGACATTGAGAATTTTTATCTTAATGGTATTATGTAGCAGTTTATTAAATGATTGTTCTCATTAGACTTATTCCCTCCAGTATCTGACCATGCTCTTTTCTTTTATTCAGACAGCAAAAGGTGATGAGCTGTCCAGTCGGATACAGAACATGTTGGGAAATTATGAAGAAGTGAAGGAGTTCCTTAGTACCAAGTCCCACCCTCAGTGCTTGGATGCTTCTGAAAATAGATTGGGAAAACCGAGATATTCTTTATTTCCTGACAAGGGGAGCAGCATTCCATCCAACTCCTTCCATACCAGTATCCACCACCAGCCCATTTACACTCCCGCCTCCGGACCACTTCCTGTTGGTAACATTAGCCACAATCCAAAGATAGCACAGCCAAGAATGGAACCATTGCCAAGTCTCCATGCCAAAAACTATGGCCCACCTGACAGCCAGCACCTGATCCAGGACCGTCTCGGACAGGAGGGATACAGCTCTAGTCATCACAAAAAAGGTGACCGTAGAGCTGATGGAGACCATTGTGCTTTAACAATAGACTCGGCTCCAGCAAGGGAGCTCTCTCCCTTGATTTCTTCTTTGCCTTCCCCAGTGCCCCCTTTGTCACCTATACATTCCAACCAGCAAACTCTTCCCAGGATGCAAGGAAGCAGCAAGGTTCACAGTAGTAGCAATAACAATAAAGGCTACTGCCCAACCAAGTCTCCCAAGGACCTGGCGGTGAAGGTTCATGATAATGAGACCCCTCAAGACAGTTTGGTGGCAGTTGTCAGCCATGGGGTAGCCCCTCCCCAGCCACCTTCTCAGACATTTCCACCCCCCTCCCTCCCCTCAAAAAGTGTTGCAATGCAGCAGAAGCCCACAGCTTATGTGAGGCCCATGGATGGTCAAGATCAGGCTCCAAGTGAGTCTCCTGAGCTGAAACCACTGCCGGAGGAGTACCGGCAACAGAACTTTGAAAGAACAGACTCAAAAGTGCCTGCCGAAGCCAAGCTCACCAAACTGAAGATGCCTTCGCAGACAGCTGAGGTGAGTGGAGCCTCTGATCCTGGGCAGTTCCCATTTGAACATATTTGAGATGGAAATGTCAGGATAATAGGAATGGGGAGGTGACTCTTTCACTTTTTGGTGGGATATCCTTTGGCTTTAGGATCCTGTTAAGTCTTGAAAACCTTAGGTCTGAGATGAATTCTGTAAGTTACACATGACATTGACGATCGACTTTGAAATGTCATTTGCGGAAAAGTTTAAAGAATCTTTTTTATTTACAACTGGTAAAATATAGAGATCCTAAGAGTATAGTTTATGTGTACGTCTGTATAGCCCACAACCCACTCAAAGTGGAGAACATGGACTGGGGTTGTRGCTCAGTGGCAGAGCGCTTTCCTTGCACACGTGAGGCACTGGGTTTAATCCTCAGTACCACATAAAAATAAATAAACAAATAAAGATATTGTGTCCATGTAGAACTAAGAAAGATTAAAAAAAAATGGAGAACACTTTTAGTACCTGAAAGTTCTAGGAAAGTTTTGAGCTGTCGTCTTGTTTGCGAGGAACACTGTCTCCTTTTAACAATGTGGAGGAAAAAAACTTGATTAATAGCTCCTCAGCCCAAGTTAATTTTTTTTTTTTTTAGTTTAAACCATAAAAAAGCAACATCCAGATGTCAAAATGTTGAAGGGAAAGACTTTATTTTTTTTAAAAAATTAAATCATAAGGAACTTTGAAGCTAGAGTTCTGTTCTAATATGTTTTATTTACCACTTATGTGGATGGTGACATCTCATTTGTGGGTGAGTCACAAATACAATAGAGAATGTTATTCAACTATGGGGTTTAAAAATAACCAAAATACTGAATTTTTAAACCAAGAAAGAAATTCCCTTTTCTAGTGCTTTGATAAATGAGAGCATTGTGTTTGAATGAGGAGAATCAAAGTACATATCCTATCACTGAAATTTTAAAGGAGTATCAGTTACTGAAAAATTAAAATTAGTAGTGCAAAGTGAATTTTACAAGTTAACCAGTAAAGTCTGTGGTTTAGTGTTTTGTCTGTTGTATAAACATTCTGTTGTGAATATCCGTCATTCGAAAATTATGTGCCACCCAGGTTTCAGTTTACATAATGACTGAAGGTTTAAAGAATGATTTGGGATTCTTCACTGGAGAGATAACTTTGATCTTCAAGGAGGAGAATTTGCTCCTTTRTAGTGTCAGTTTTTAGTTTAGAAGAGGGATGCTGGGGTTCTGTCCTCAGTTGGTTCTTGAGCAGTGAGCATTCCCCAATGTCTTCAGAATGTGGCCTTTGTTTGGGGGTTGAGGAAAAATGGGAAAGGAAGAGTAAAGCAAATAGATCTCTGACTCCATCTTATGAAGAGTCTGTGCAGTGAAGCATTTATTGAATATTTTGTGCTGCAATGAAGGCAAAATAAAGCAAGATCCTCCCTCCTGGAGATGGTTTGTCAGTCCATCTTATAATCCAGACRGTGAAAAACTTAATGGGGGTTTCTTTGGTTTATGTATCAAGTAAGGTCTGCTGTAACTTCCTAAATAAACAAAAACAGAAAAGCATCTAAAGGGACAATTCAACATTTCTTTCTTAAAATACTAAACAACTAAAAAAATTTCTTCAAAATAATTTTAGGATGCATTAGTAGTATTTGCATAGTCTACCAAATGTTCAACCGTATGCTGAAGTGGAAAGCTAAAGAAGTATCCGTCCTGCCCCTGGAAAGCTGACATTCTAGTTTGGCCATCAGCCTATATTCACTCTTGAAACAGTGAGAGAACAATTGAGTACACTCTGCCTGGGGTTGGGTGTACAGTGAACCTGTGGAAATTCAGCCAATTAGGTTTCCCAGTAGCCGCTTCAGGGAGAGCATCTTGGTTAACTTTCTTGGGGGCAGAGGTGGGATAGAGAAGCTGAGTCAAGGTTTCTCCCAAGTCTTAAAGACTTTCCTGTTTAATATAAATTTTAGGTGTAGGACTATGTTCTATGGTCCTTGCACATTTTCTGAGGAGTGAATATTTGAAATGCAGGAAATACTCCATAAATTTGGTGACTGGAGAATGGGATTTTCTTGGCACAGATGCATCTCCTTTCAACAATTGAGTAGACGTAAACTTGTCATTTGCAGTCAGTGTTTCTTGTAATGTGACGGCTCCCTCTGGTCTCTGCCAGTGCCCTCATGCTAGTGGCAGCTGTAGTGCCAACTGCCTGGGCCCCCTGTGGTACTGCTGGTGAACAGGAGGATGAAACTGGGGGATCAGCAGATGGAGGGGTCTGGGGAGAATTAGGAGCCAGGAGCTTGGAATGAACGAGGAGTAAATCTGGGAAGCAGAGATGGGTGCTCTCTGGCTAGGTTTTTTTCTCTTTCTTTTTTTTTCATATTCTGGTAAACCCAAGGAAAGCATAGGGCTGGGGGACTAAGAAAAGCAGTGAATTAACCCAGAGCAGGTAAACTTTATATATAGAACCAGAATACTATCAGTGTGTCCTGGGTTATTTTGGATTTGGGGCAGTGTGGTAGACAGTGGGGGACAGAAGAGGAAGATGGCTGTTGGCTGAGCTCAGAGAAGGGGCATAGAGGGAGATAGCTAAGTGATTGTCACTTATTTGCTTAATTGGTTCTAAGGCCAGCCAGGAGATTTTCACTTTCCTTGCTCTGAGTGTGAGGGTGGTTGGATTTTGTGGTTTATTTCATTGTCTCCTCCCTTCCCCCTGTACTCATGACAGAGTATTTTTGAAACGAACCCAGGTAGGAAAGTATCACTTTGTCTTTCTAGAGTTCCTTCATTCTCAGGGCCCATACATGTGGATTCCTTACCCTACCTTCTGTCCTTTTACCTCACAGGAAGTACTTGGTTTTATTATATATATATATAATTTTTTTTTTGGTGATCTTAAAAAATGATATTCTTTTCAGGGTAAGTCATTCTCACAGTTAAAACTTAGTCTCTCCTAAAATCCTAAAGGAAAAAAATTACCCAAAAGTCAATATTCTGACCAAATAGAGGCCTGAATCACAAAACTCCGCCCTTAGTTTTCTCTGGGTGTGTCAGTTTGTGTCAACTGGAAGACTAGAGTTGTGAGCAGTGATCTTGCTCAGAGCCGGGGAGGACTCTAGGATCTCATGCAGGTATTTTCCAGCTGTACAGTTGCCACATCAGAGATGGAATTGCCCAATGGGAAGGTTGAGATCATTTTTCATTCCTTTTCTCTGCTTAGAGATAACAAACAAAAGAGAAAAACCATTGCCTCCCTGGGTAGTTGTTCAGGAGCATGGGACTCAAGGTTGTGAGGTAAGGCGGTGGAGTTAGAGGGAAGGAGGTGTGCCTAGACATAGGTTTTAGAACGCAGGATTGTGTAATAGCCTTTTTTTAAATTTTTATTTTTGAAGTCATTGTTTTATTTTAAATTTTATCTTATTTTTTACACAAACGGAGCACAACTTTTCATTTCTTTGGTTGTATATGATGTAGGGTCACACCATTTGTGCAGTCATACCCGAACATAGGGTAATAATGTCTGTCTCATTCCATCATCTCCCCCTTCTCCACACCCCTTTCCCTCCCCTCCCTCCCCYCTGCCCAATCTAGAGTTCTTCCATTCTTTTCTTGCATACCCATACTCCCTGTCCCACCCAATTAGGGATCAGCATCTACTTATCAGAGAAAACATTTGGCCTTTGGTTTGGGGGGATTAACTTACTTCGCTTAGCATGGTATTCTCCAGCTCCATCAATTTACCTGTAAATGCCATAATTTTATTCTTCTTTAAGGCTGAGTAATAATCCATTGTGTTGTATACCACAGTTTCTTTCTTTATCCTTTCATCTGTTGAAGGGCATCTAGGTTGGTTCCATAGTTTAGCTATTGTGAATTGAACTGCTATAAACATTGAGGTGGTTGCATCACTGTAGGGTGCTGATTTTAAGTTCTTTGAGTATAGACTGAGGAGTGGGATAGCTGAGTCAAATGGTGGTTTCATTACAAGTTTTCTAAGGAATCTCCATACTGCTTTCCAGAGTGGTTGCACTGTTTTGCAATCCCACCAGCAGTGAATCAGTGTACCTTTTCCCCCACATCCTTGCCAGCACTTGTTGTTGTGTAATAGGCTTTTATTTAAAAAGAGAAATGGCATAAGCAGAGTCTACAAATTCCATACTGAATTTAGGTTTTTAAAGGTAAACACACAGTCCTTTCATTTCACAAATAAGGTCTAAGAGCATGAAGTCACTTCATTTTGCTAAAAATTGCAGTTAGTGTTAGGGATAAAGGTAGAAATCCCAGTTCTTTGGTCTTTCTACTTAGATGACTTGCCTGGTGGTAGCACTGGCTGAAGTGATGGTGGTAAGATGTGGGTTTGGTTTTTTTCTTTTGAACTTGGACTGAACTCAGAGCTTCATGCATGTTAGGTGAGTGCTCTACTATTGAGCCACACCCCTGGCCCCAGTGTGTGTATTCTTGACCAGAAGAGCTGGACTTTGTCTTCTGAATCTGTAGCAGAGCCTTGGGGAAATAGTAAGTTTCATTTCTTATTTGTGTTTATTGACTTAGGGTTTTTATTCTTTTATTCTTCCTTATTTTGTGTTTTTTTTTCTTTTTTTTAAATCCATGTAACATATTGGAATTAACTCCCATTATGTGCCAGGCACAGGGATAGGCCCTGGGGATGTAGCTGAGATCAAGCTAGACATGCCCCTATCTTGTAGACCTTTTATTTTATGGAGGACATTGATGATTAATTCACACATGAGCAGTAGTCTTTTGACAAGAAAGTTGCAAGAAGTAAGGAGAAGGGCAAGGAGAGTGAGAAGAACCAGAGGAGGCCACTTTAAAAAGGGTGGCCAGCAAAGGCCCCTCTGAGGGGACAACATTCGCAAAGACATACAGGATGAACCTGAGTCAACCATGCAGAACTGGAAGAGGCATTTCATTTCGGGTCAAGAAACAAGTGCAAAGGCCTGAATTTGGAAAGAAGAATGGCTTTGTTAAAAAGAGAAACAAGGTGAGTGTGGCTGTAAGACT